AATTCTTCGGCGCTCAGCCTTCTTTATTGTCCAGCTCTCACAGCCATACATTACTACTGGAGTGCATATCTGACCAACTTCTAAAAACCGCTGCAACTTCCCCCAATTCCTGACTCCTAGTTTGAGAACCCCTGCTCCCAATTTTTCCCCTGCGTTGTTTTAACAGAGGGCTAATCCAGAAAGGATATGCTGGGATTCAGCCTCTCTTAGACTGGGCCAAACCGTCATCCACTTAAGAACTGTTGATGGACCCAAGCAGTTCTCAAAGCTTTGTAGCAGAATTCCATTCTGGGAAACTCCTACTTTTTTGCAGTATGGGCTTCTTTAAAGCAACACTTCTCAGGCCAAGATGAGGGCAAGCCTGGAACCAATCTCTGTCAAGGTGACAATGAAAGATAATAAGAACACAAATAAACACAGAGTAGACTTCCATCACAAAACTTAAAGACAATTTTTGGCAGGCCACTCCTTCATCTCCCTTGGAGCCCCAAGGATATTAATTGTTAAAGGGGAGGTAGGAGAGCCATGGTAATCCTTATCTGTAACAAGACAAAAGAAATCTTTAGAGCCCAACTGGTTCACAGTAATGGTTTAAGACACTTTGAAACCAGCCTCAGAGGCACTGTGGGGCTTCCATTTCCCTCACTCTCAGGCTGGGACCTGGGAAGGAAACGCAAGCCAACCTTTGGATTGCCCTTTGAAGAAATCTCCCCCCTCCCCGCCATCTAGCCCACATGCCAGAGCTGCTGGGCTCCGGCTCAGTCAGGCTGAAACCCGCCCGCCCCCGTTTCCAAAGGGCCCTCCGCGGGCATCGTCCCACCCTGCTGCTTTGCCGACTGGCTGCAGGGACGCGCTACTTCCACGGCAGCAACAAGGAACAAACGGATCATCGAGCCAACAAGGAATGCCAGAGCAGGTGACGCAGCGCACCCACCACCCATGCGGTTTTCTGTGCCAGAGCTGTCACCTGAAAGGAACAGTGTGGACAAGCTAATCCTAAGGGCTTTTCTTTTCTTCTTTTTTTGTTTCTCTTCTCTTCTCTTCTCTTCTCTTCTCTTCTCTTCTCTTCTCTTCTCTTCCTCTTCTCTTCCTCTTCTCTTCCCTCTCCTCTCCTTTTATTTTCTTTTCCTTTTCACTCGATCTACCATGATTTAAGATTTCAGTAGGCAAAATTTTGCCCATTAGTGAATTTTTGATTGCCTCTGCTTATTGCAGCGGTCTCACACTCCCCCCACCAAAAAAATGGGTTAGGGTTATGATTATTGATTGATAGTTAAGAGTCGCCTCTGTAAATCTATGTCCCCATGCTATAATTGCATCAATCAATGGTATCTGTGGTGGGTTCAAACATTTCAGACCTAACACTAGTGGCAGGCAAAAAAGGAACAAGAACCAGATGGCCTCCATTGATCTTCCCAAGCTTAGCAGGTTGAACCTGTTTAATACTTGAATGAGAGACCACTAGGAGATCCCATGGCTAATGGCTAGACTGGGAAGTCGGACACATTCTGGAAGTCAGACATAGCAGACCCGTTTTGTACTGTTGCCAAGGTAACTGGATGGACGTGCCCATGTGGTTCCCAGGAATTGAACTCAACTTTGCCAGGCAGGATGGTCCCGGCAGGGTAAAGACTTCATTAGGATCAACACTCCCTCTGGAGGCTGAAACCACGAGAAGAAGCTAACCACCTTCGGTCATTTCAGAAGATGCTGAAGAAGCAGAAAGTGCCCAGAAGAATTCTCTTTCAAGACGGGGCAGAGTAGCCTCCTCTTCCTCACTTCGCCCCCTGATGAGGAGACTTTTGGTGCTTCGTTCATTTAGAATGTCCAACTTGTAATTTGATTCTCTGTAGTAGAAGTGTGGGAGGGACCTCAGTAGAAACTCTCGCCCATCTCTCTTCTTCCCAAGAAGGACACTGTTGCCCACACAATCGCAGTCCCCAAGAAACCAGCTTTTATCCTGTCCTGGGTGCAGTTCTCAGAACAGCTCCTCACTAGGGTCCTTTGGCTTACAGTAACTGAAAACATGATTAGACGGGGCTTCACGTCTCCTCGGGAAATAAACCATCCTTCCGGCACACCAGCTCGGGCCTCTGCTAACTGCCCTGGTGTGATCTTATGCTAAGCTCAGGTGGCTTCCCAAGTGGATTTCCCACCATGTTTTCCTATTGATTTGTTTATGTATTGATTTGTTTTATTTCTTCCTGCCTCAGTCAAGGATTCTCAGCGGGTTACAATCTCTCCAAATGATGCTAAAACCTCCAAGGGGACAAAACAATCAAAGCAAAGCGATAAATAATTGTGTCCTGAGCACTTGCAATGTTGATGCAGCATCTTACCACCAGGACAACGAGACACGCTCCTAAGTCTTCTTGCTGATCTGTCTGGCTAATAAAGTCCGCTGCGGGCGAGGAGGGGGGCACCCACGACTCATCAAGCAGGGAAAAAAGTTTTCTGGAATTCGAAGGTAAACTTGTTTAAAATGGGCTGGGAGAAAGATAAGGCCAGCATCTGATGACCAAGAGAAACTTGGCAGTTGCCAAGGCGTTTGATGTTGATGCAGGCTGCAGGGGAAGAAAGGAGACTTCACCGCTCTCGAAAGTTCTCGGTCCCAAAAACGATTTCCACGATCTGGAATACGTTGCTTACAAGGAAGCATTAAAACCACGCTAAGGCGCAAATGGGGGTTAAGCTGTCAACTGACAGGAACATAGGGTCGTACTCTCCTACTCAGAAGTAAGCCCATCAGGTTCAAGGGGACTTACTTCCGGGCAAAGCCATAAAGGACCCGAGCGCCGAGACGGACCTTGGCTGCCTAGAAGCCTTCCCGGCGAACGTCGTGCTTGTCGATCCGCTTCTGTATCCTACAGGGGGGCAGAGCGGTGATGAAAGGCGGTCTGCGCATGATTGGAAGCCGTCTCAGTGTTTGATCTGGGTAGGTTTCCACTTTGGCTCTGCCGAGCAGGAGTTCATTCCTCCGCCAGGCTGTGGCTCCCTTCGCTTTCTTCTCCCCCTTGACCCGCGGCGCCTACCCTCTCCGAGGGGACCGGCCTGCCCTGGATCCTCTCACTCGCCCCGTGGGGAGCAGACCTGCGCGCGCCTCCAGCTCCAGCAAGCAAGAAGCCGCCCGCTCGGGCAAAGAGACGGCCCGAGGGGACGGGGGCGGGTAGCGCCTCGCGAAGA